GGCGAGAGAGAGAGAGAGAGAGAGAGAGAGAGAGAGAGAGAGAGAGAGAGAGAGAGTTAATTTTCTGAGACAGAACGTGGTTAATCTGGAGTGCCAACGGATCAGGAGGCCATCGGCTGGTGCTTGCTTGCTTGGCGTACAGAGGGAAAGGCGTCACTTGCTTTGGGAAGAGGGCAAAGGGGGGTATGGACTGCTGTCTTGCGTGCCTGTGGGTTTTGGAGTTTTCCACGATGCCACAAACGGTGTACTCACGATCTGCTTGCATGTCGTAGTGGTCGACGCAGACATGATTTCACGACTGTATTCTTTGACACCCGCTCCGCTCCTCTCGAAGCCAGTAAGTCCCCCGCTCACCCCCTCCCTACATACAATTACCAAGCAGGTACAATATCAAAGGAACCCCCCTCCTACGCCCCAACCCCCTCACAACTTGATACCACCCCAACACCAATACACCCTTTTTTTCTTCAGATATGCGAAGCGATGCGGTACTCCCTGATGGCCGGGGGCAAGCGCGTGCGGCCCATCCTCACCATCGCCGCGTGCGAGATGTTCGGGGGCTCGATGGAGGCCGCCATGCCCACGGCCGTGAGCACGGAGATGATCCACACCATGTCTCTCATCCACGACGACCTTCCCGCAATGGATGACGACGACCTTCGCAGGCGTGTTTTTTTGTTGTTGTTGTTGGGGTTCGGTAGTGTTTCGCTGTTTTTCTTGGTTGGATCTTGTTTCGCTCAATCTTGTGTATCTTTTCGGTGTAAATACAGCCGTGTTTTGTACTTGCTTTCTTCTTCAAGCTCGTTTCTGTAAATCTTGTATCTTGTCGGATTTGGATGTAGGCATGTTTTGTCTTGCTTTTCCGTTCCACGCCTATCTCGGTAAATCTTGTATCTACCTCTTCAGTATTATGATTCGACTTCTCCGACCTACATGTAAACACGACTCAAGTGCTGCTACTGCTGCCGTGTGTGTTCGTCCGATCTGTGATTTGAAATAAAGAAGAAAAAACAAAAGTTCTGGCGCCAGTCTACCCACCTGCTGCTGTCGCCGTGTGTTTCTGTTGTCTTTCAACGGCGCTGCGACTAGAATCCGCCCGATCTACCGTTGACCATAAGCGGCAAGAATTCGTCCAATGTAGACTACTTCCTACTTCCAATAGCGGCGGAGTACCTGTTTTTTTTAACTTGTTTTTTGTGTTGCTCTTGCAGGGGAATGCCGACGTGCCACGTTAAATACGGGGAGGACATCGCCATCCTCGCAGGCGATGCGCTCTTGTCCAAGTCTTTCGAGCACTGCGCGAAGGTTTTAAAACGCCTTGCAATGTTGTTGTTGTATGCTGCTGCTGCTGATTGGTAGTCGTTGCTGCTGTTGTTGTTGTGGTCGTCGTTGGCTTTCGTTGTGTGGTTGCGGTGGTTTGCTGTAGTTGTTGCTGTTGTTGCCATTGATAATGCTGCTGCTGCTGCTGCTACTGCTGCTGCTGCTGCTGCTGATTGGTTGCTGTCGTTGTTGTCGCCAATGCCTCCAGTGCTAGACTCGGAGCTTGCTAGTACGACAAACAATCCTTCTGCTACTGCTACGCCTACCGGTGTTACTCTGTACTCAATCCCTTGCGCTGCCGCACGACATTGCCGTCATTACATCCTGACACACGACGTCGCATAATTGATCCGTGTGCCATTCGGCATTGCTTCTTTATTGGGCATGACACGTGATGCGACAACCAGTTCACCGAGGGCGTGGAAGCTGATCGGGTGGTGCAGGTGATCGCGAGGCTCGGAGAGGCTGTTGGTGAGATTGGTCTTGCCGGGGGACAGGTGAGGCCGGGAACACCAGGGGCGGGGGGGGGGGGGGGGGGGG